TGGTCAGAATGGATAAAATAAAAAAAGTGTCAAGGGATGGGAATCGAACCCACGACCTTCCGCTTACCGGGCAGATGCCATGACCACTAGGCTACCCTGGACATATTTTTCCGTTCACATTTTTATTTTTATATTTTCAAGACACACACAGTTTGGGGCGGGAGGTTTCATAAGAGAGACATCCACAGCGCCAATTTATAATTGTAACGAATAGTATTTTAATTAAAACATTTTTAAAATATATACGCACTCGGATAAAACCCGGGCGTTGCCCGGGCCATTCGTCTAGTTTATATATAAATACAAAAAAAAAAAATTCAATAGAGTTAATTTTTTTACATACTAGCTAATAATCTCAATCAAAAAATATTAAAAACAAGCAATTTTAAGATAACACCATATGTAAAACAGTCGGCCAAGAAAACAACAACGATATTACATCTTTCTCACATATTCACACACAATCTTGTTTAATGATTAAAACTAATCTTTAACATTGTTTATTATACTTCATAATATATAATATTCGTTAGGCAAACTTTCACTCGGATAAAACCCGGGCGAAGCCGGGTATATATAGTAGTATATATATATTTCTCGGAGGAAATTGATTTATAAAAGCCTAGTTCTACCATCAAATTAAAGGTCAAAACTAGATGCCATCTATTGACCGTCGTCGCAAACTAGCGGCCTCGGGTCGGTGACAAAGACACAATACCGGCAAACTTAGAAATGGATGGCGTCTAATTTGACGTGTAATTTGAGGGGAGGGCGCCCTGTACATTTATTTATATATACTAGACGAATGACCAATGACGTTTTCCCACGAATGAAATTTCACCTGAGCGCATATAGAAAAAAAAATCCGTTTTAAAAATATTTTATATTATTAAGGCACAATAATCTAGTGTAAAAGAGAAAGAATTCAAAAATTCGTCTTAAAATAGGTACCACTTTATAAAATAAACACAATCCCAATTTAATTAGTTACAGAATTAAACTTATTTGAATTTTATATCAGTTTTTATCTTGCTTAATGTCGATTTTACTTTACTCGGATTTTGCTCTATTCAGATGGTTCTTTAAATATAATCCAATATTATGTGAAAACATATGCAGGTGATCTAGACTGGTACTTAGCGCTGTCCAGAAGTCCAACCCCTCCTTATACTTATAAAGAGAGATAAAATAAAACACTAAAAAGGAATCTTTTTACTATAAATCATCATCATAGGCGCTAATAAATATGAAACCAAGTTTCTGGGGTTTAGAAATGGTTATCGTTCTAGACCCGTTCATAGAACGGGATAATGAACTAATTCTTAATATACATCTAGACCATATAGAAGTCTGGTATTTTATAGGTTATTTCATTACTGCTAACAAAATGCCAGTTTACAAAATATAAAATAGTAGTCAAATCATGTTTGGTCATTTATATATGTATTCACAATTTTATTACCCAGTATTATTGTGACTTTCATTTGTTTTAAATAATTTGGTGTATAATTATGATTTGTCTCAATTTTCTAAATAGATGTGCGCGCAGTATATTTTCTCTCTTTGGTAAAATACAATAATCGCTCTAAAATATAGACAACCTGTTTTTATAAATATTGAAGTATTAAAATGTATTTAGAACATAGGCGCTTTTTTATTGGAAATATTTAACGAAAATTCAAAATCGTGTGCGCTTTGTGTATTTTTAATAATATTTTAAAATATTATATATTTTATTTTTTATTTAAATCATCAAAAAATATTAATTAAACACATTTTTTGTCTTTTTTTTTTCAATTTTAAAACATAGTCGCTTTTATTCTTATTAATTATTTTAAGGTTGTAAATATATATAATTTGAAAAAAATATTCTAGAAATATTAAAATAGAAAATATGTCGAGACAGTCTTTGAAAATAGAGTGTAGCCAAATGGCTAAGGATTATAATCAAGAGAATTCGAGAAGGCGTTCTAGGTCAATATTTCCAGATCCTTTATGGGACATGAACCCAGGACTATCGAGTGTAGATAAAATCATGTTTGCTAAGAATAAGTTGTATTCCATGGAAATATTTCAAGAACATCTAGAAAAATACAAAGAAGGCTTGTTGGAACGTAATCTTACTAGTGTTGAGAAAATCTATTGTTATGGCTTAGGTTCCATGACTAGAGCAGAATTCTATGGTGTACGTAATGACAGCATAGTACAGTTTGCGTTCCTGTTGATCCTACAGGAGCAGTTTAAGCCTAAGTATATAGGAATTTATGACCCAATCTTTATTATGACGGATTTTGAAATTTTTGAAAAATTTCCAGGAATCAATCGCATCCATGGAAACATTTTATATTCCGAAGGCCCAACCATATATTACATGCCTTTTGTTGATATCCCTATTTTTTCATCATTGATTCGTGCAAATCTTTACCCAGAACAACTGAAAAATGTATTTTTGATATGTGCATATTTTACTAAATGGGTTAAGGACTTGCCATATTTTGGTAAATGCATTCCCTTATTGAAAACCTTTGGAGTGGAAAAATATCCCCATGAATATTTATGCCTGTTTCCTTTAAGGTTATTTCTATTTCCTCCAGGAATTCTGGAAGAGCAACCTGAAGACTTCTGGATCCAGAAAATACAACATTCTCCGAAAGAAGAATGTAAGCGAATAAACTACTGTGATAACAGGGAAGAAAGACGTAGGCAACAAAAGGAAAATAGGAGATTGCGCAAAAATCAAAACAGAAGATTTCGAAATTTACCAGTTGAAGCTCGGAAATAGGTTTTTACGAAAGGTTGTAGTTTTACATTGATTAAAGTTTAAATGAAATAAGCATATTATCAAAAATATGCTTCACTCTGTAAATAACAAAAATATTTCTAATGAAACAATAAAATATTGTTGTCTTTCTATAAATATAATGACTATTAGATACAAAACTAGGGTTTTACCCGATTAAATGCTTTTATTTAAATACTATTCGTTACAATTATAAATTGGCGCCGTGGATGTCATTCTTGTGAAACGTCCCGCTCCAAACTTTGTGTGTGAGAAGCGACATTTTTATAAAGAGACTAGCGCACCCGGCCACGCGTTGCTGTGGCTAAGTTGTAATATGTTAAATTAATATTATACTAAACTATTCAGTACAGTAAAGTTAATATTCACTTATAAAGATAAAAATGTTTTAGCCGATCTAAAGCCCTACGGGATTGAGAATGGAACGTTACGTTAAAATTTGAAAGTGATTTATATATATATAGATAATATAGCCCTTTATAATCACTGCATTAATAAATGTCAGTGAACTTGTTTATATGTATTGTCTTTTGTTTTTGAAATATTCTAATAGAACGTTCTCACAATTTTTGTAAAATATTTATATATGCACAAACACAGAATTTAAAAATATGTCTTAAAATTTGCTATAATTATTGTTATAAATATTATTTTAAAATAATTCGCCAGAAATCGTCCCGGTAGTATACTAAACAACTTCCCAAAGTTTCATGGCACAAACATCTAAAATAAAATAATACTTTGCTACAATATTAAAAAGAGGGGTGCTTAGGTGTTTAAAATGTAAAATGTGCTCTAAATAGTATTACATAGAGCCTTCATAACAAACATATTTAAAATAAACCAATTAAAATATAATAATGCTGTAAAAAAAGACTTTGCTACAATAATATAAAAGAAATGAAAATAAAAAAAGACACCCACGCTGAGCCTCGAACCTAGGTTTGCTATAAATATTATTTAAAAATTGTTTATGTTAATTTTTATTTTAAAAAGCCTACATTTTAAATAAAATAATATTTTTAATAATTTGCTACAATAATATAAAAGAAATGAAAAAAAAACACCCACGCTGAGCCTCGAACCTAGGTTGTGGGGGTACGAAGCTGTGTACCTATCCTATAGGTTAAGCTTGACGTTACAAATAGGCTCATGCGAGGCTATTTCAGGCCATACGCCTGCCGCGAGGGGGCGCTGATTGCGAGTGAATTTACGTTTTATTGTAAATAAAAATGCAACGAAAGGTTATTTCTAAAGAGTAATTAGCCAGAAACCATCCCGGTAGTATACTAAACAACTTCCCAAAGTTTCTTCACGATCGGTTGAGCGATGTAGAAGATTATCACTTACGGACGGACCAACAAACATTCATTTTTATATATATAGATGATCTGGCTTTGTGTCTTCTGCTCAAATGAATGTTTTTCTGATAGAATTTTGTTCCTGCATACTAAAAATGAACTGGCTTCACCCGTGGTCTCTGCTTTTTGGAATTTTTCCGGATATAATTTTGTATCTGATAATCAAATATGATACAGCAATATTGTCATAATCATTTTCTGACCAAAAAAAAACAACTATTTTTGCCCAGAACCTGTCAATTTCAATTTTTCTTGGCTAAAAATGCGACAAATATCTCTTCCATATTTTTTTCTATGTCCTGTTAAAACACGTTTTACATGTACATTAGGTCAGCTGATATTGCCTCCCATCTTCACCGCTAGAGGCGCTGCTTGCGAGCGAAAGAGGAAATTTGCAACTCACATTTGCAAAAAACTCGAAGAATATTCGGGATAGAGACCTGAAATATTCAATATAAGTTTTTCCAGATTCTACTATACATACTGCTAAAATTTCAGTCATATTAGTTACGTATTTTTCGTATATTACGTAAAAGCATTCCATTCACAAAAGCAAACGATGACAGAATTGATGGCTCTGATACTTGTATATTTTAAAATAATAATAATATAACTGAGTTTTAAAAATTGTAAAAAAAATGCATCGGCCGGGATTCGAACCCGGGCCGCCCATGTGGCAGGCGAGCATTTTACCACTGAACCACCGATGCTTATAAGAAATGGCCAAAAGCAAACGGTGACAGAATTGTTGATTATGAATCTAATACTTGTATATTTTAATATTTAATAATAGGTTCATTTACATTCATATTAAAATTTTTACCGTCCAATTTTTGCACAGCAGAAAGCGCAGTGGAAGCGTTCTGGGTCCATAACCCAGAGGTCCGTGGGTCGAAACAACGCTCTGGTATTTTTTTTTATTCACAAAAGCAAACGGTGATAGAATTGTTGATGACTCTGATAACTGTATTGATTAATGTTTTTTTTTTTTTTTTATAAAATGTGATTTTATTTTTGTCAAACTATTACAATAATGTGAACGATTTCTTACTTTATAGAATTAGGTATACTATATATATATAGTGTAAAATACCTCGGTACACACAGCTCAAGATGTCCGTTTTAATCTATTCTCGACAAAACCATGGGTTTTTTTTACTCTCAGAGTGACAACTATATCCACTAAATTGACACATGTGGTTTTATTATATATATATATGATTTTAGACCATGGAATTATTGTAATACAGTCTACTCTCGTTATAACGCCACTCGATATAACGCCACCCTCGCCTTACGCCGCTTTTTCATTTTGTCCCAATCGACATCAATGTATTTTTCTCGATATAACGCCACTCCCTCGCTGTTCGCCTTCCGCCGCTGATTTTTTGTTTCCCAAGTAGCAAAAACCACTCGTTATAGCGCCGCTCACAACGTCCCTCACACCCCCCCCCCCCGCCCCCCTTTCTTGTCTGCATTTTTTTACGCCAACGGCGCCGGACTTTGTTTGCTGTTGACACAACAGATAACAGATTGTGTGAACAGCCAGCAGACCCTTTTCCTCCTTGTTCCTGGGACATACACAGTCGCTTCATCCTTTGCTAACGTCAACACAACAACTTTATTGTCGTATCATGTGTTCCCAAAAGCGTAAACGTGAGTCGATCACCATTGAAAAGAAGAAGGAGATATGCCAGTTGGCAAGAAATAACCCTACGATGTCGAAGAATGAGATTGGAAAGCGTTTCTCACTTCCACGAACAACTTTCCGTGATATTCTCACTCAGGCTGAGAAGTGGGAAAATTATACTGTTGGTTCTTCAAAGAGACAAAGAGTCGGAAAATTTAGTTACTTGGAAGACGCTCTCTTCAACTGGTTTACCCAAAAGAGTGCCAATAATATTATTATTACTGATGATCTCTTAATAGAAAAGGCAAAAAACTTGGCGAGCATTTGGACGTACCAGAAAATTTCGCGTACAGCAGTGGGTGGCTGCAGCGATTTAAGGGAGATTCCATATTTCGCAACGACGGCTCTGTGGGGAAGGCGCATCGATTTCTCCAGCTATCATTGATGAACATCTTACAAATTTGAACAGTATTCTGGCGAACTCCGGATATGATCCAGCTAACATATACAATGCAGACGAAACAGGATTATTTTCCAGCTCATTCCTGACCGAACACTTGCTCACAAAGATGAAAACTGCCGTGGTGTCAAAAGGATGAAGCAACGAATCACTATTCTATTGTGCTGCAACTCTACTGGAACAGATAATCGGCGATTGCTGATTATTGGAAAATCGGCAAAGCCTCGATGCTTCAGAAACTTTAGTCCACACTTCTACTGCACTTACACATCTAACAGCAAAGCATGGATGACCTCTAGCATCTTTCAAGAATGGCTACTGAAGTTCAACAAGCAGCTTGTCTCTGAAGGACGTCGTATCCTACTGTTGTTAGATAACGCTACGTCTCACTGCGTCCCTAATGATGGTCTCAGCAACATAAAGATACACTTCCTTCCACCAAATATGACTGCCAGTCTGCAACCACTGGATAGTGGCATCATCAAAAGTTTCAAGGCTCAATATCGCAAGCTTCAACTCCAGAAAATGGTGGAATTGGCGGATGCCCATCTACCCACAGAATTACGTCTGGATTACGCTGTGCGCTATTGTAAAATGGCTTGGGATTCTGTGAGCCCTGATTCCAGCAGCAACTGCTGGAATCACACAGGCATTATTCGCTTCACTTCTACTGCTGCAGTTGAGCCTCTTAATTATGGAAATCTGCTCGATCGCATTCGCGACATCTTCGCTATTACACCAGAGAATTTGATGACTGAAAGGGAGTTTCAACTGGTTGATGATTCCAGGAGGCGGAAATGAAGCTAACAGATGACAATTTTCTGGTGTCCACTGTTACAGCGAAAGAAGAACTTGGCGAGGATGATGATGCAACAGTGACCCAGCGCCTACCATCGTTAAGGGAAGCCAGAACAGTTGCTGAGACAGTTTTGTTGTTTCTTGAGCACTCCAAGAGAGCAAAATCTGACGACGTCAACCTATCTGCGGATTTGTTACGCCGTGTCTATGCCATAAGTGAGGGAGAGAAAACACAAGTTGTGATCACAGACTTCTTCAAGAAAATGTAATTACTTTTTAATAAATAAATTATAAATTAATTATTCCAATTTGTCATATTAATTAATTAATGCCGGCATCTACTTATATAATTGCCTTATTCTGTCTGTCTGAAGTTCACTGTCAGAAGCTCACTGTCTGAAGTTCACGGATAGAATGCGCGCCCATTGGCTGCCGGCGAACACGTGGCCTCCCTGCCCCCCTCTAGACAACCCTGTTATCAGCTGTGTGATACATACACCTGTCTATAGCGGCCATTCTAGACAACCCTGTTATCAGCAGTGTGTTACATCCACCTGTCTATACAGACCACCCTGTCTATAGCGGTCACTTTAGGCAACCCTGTTATCATCAGTGTGTTACATTCACCTGTCTATACAGACCACCCTGTCTATAGCGGTCACTTTAGGCAACCCTGTTATCAGCAGTGTGATACATACACCTGTCTATACAGACCACCCTGTCTATAGCGACCACTCTAGACAACCCTGTTATCAGCAGTGTGTTACATTCACCTGTCTATACAGACCACCCTGCATATAGCGGCCATTCTAGATAACCCTGTTATCAGCTGTGTGATACATCCACCTGTCTATACAGACCACCCTGTCTATAGCGGTCACTTTAGGCAACCCTGTTATCAGCAGTGTGATACATACACCTGTCTATACAGACCACCCTGTCTATAGCGACCACTCTAGACAACCCTGTTATCAGCTGTGTGAAACATCCACCTGTCTATACAGACCACCCTGTCTATAGCGGCCACTCTAGGCAACCCTGTTATCAGCTGTGTGATACATCCACCTGTCTATACAGACCACCCTGTCTATAGCGGCCACTCTAGGCAACCCTAGGAAGCAAGATGTATACAAGGTCAAGGGATGGGAATCGAACCCACGACCTTCCGCTTACCGGGCAGATGCCATGACCACTAGGCTATAGGCTCATTATTTCTTTATACCGTTATATTATATATAGTTAAAACATTTTTAAAAACACACAGTTTGGAACGGGACGTTTCACAAGAGTGACATCCATGGCGCCAATTTATAATTGTAATGAATAGTATTTGAATTAAAACGTTTTTAAAATATATTCGCACTCAGGTAAAACCCGGGCATTGCCCGGGCCATTCGTTTAGTTCTATATATTGACTTAGGGTATAAGTTGTTTTTAGTAATTGTTATAAATAATTTATTGTATCTTTAAATTTCACATTTTAAACGTGTTCGATACAACGCCACCCTCGCCTTACGCCGCTTTTTTGCAAAATCCGGATGGTGGCGTTATAACGAGAGTAGACTGTATATCCAAATATGTAATACCACATGTATCACCACGTGAATGTATATAACTTGCTATTTACTGCCCAACTATGAAACATCAAATAACATTAATCTGTACCGCTTAAGACTGTAATAAAGTATAGCAACTGTACAGATAGAAGGAATGGAGAATTACAGGAGAATCTTAAGTCTAGAGAGTAGCTTATCTATCAAAAGAAGAAAGTAATTTAGAACGCTTGTCCTAACTATAATTCATAGGATCACTAATGGCTGAAATTATTGCGAACACTAATTAAACTTTCCGGAAATTCGCTTTAAATAGATACCGCCTTAAAAGAAACTCAAAATCAATTTAATTTTTTAAATTTAATATAAACTTTTTAATGTTGTTTTACGTAGAATTTACGCTCCTTATGCTACACAATGTTCACTTGAAAGGAAATATACAAATTATAGTCTTATCCTTGCTACCCGGAAGTCTGATTTTGCACACATACATTGTTAGCAGGATTAAATAGCCTATAAAATACCAGACTTCTACGTGGTCTAGAGGTATATTAAAACCTAGACCATCATCCCGTTCTAGGAACGGGTTTATAACGATAGCCACATAAGCCTTATAAGAATTTTTTCCTATATTTGCATACAGTGTGAAATATCTAGAGAGAGACATCATATCACTTCTAACTCTTATGAAAGTATTACCTATAGACGTATATTTATTCACATACATTGACATTTATATATATTAAGAAAAAGGCATCTCATTATCGTGCAACTTAAAGTTGCTGATGGCTGGCGCCATCTATCGGAATAAATATCAACTATTCTCTGATTCATATATCTACATTAATAAAATGCAAATTTCATAAGTGTTGTTCGCTAAAAACTTTCGTTACAATGCATCAATTTCGACCAAATTTTCAACATTTATATAAAGCGAGATGGAGCAGGTTTTGCTTAACATTAAAATATTTTTCCTAACATTAACATGCGTAACTTCGCTGTTATCGATTAAATACAAAAAAATCAACAGAGTTAATGTTATCAACATATATAGTCACGACCGTCATGGGTTCTGTCACTGATGCGCGCGCATCATCATTATGATCATTATCATTATCTAATGATAATAATAATAATAATTATTATTATTATTATTATTATTATTATATTATTATTATTATTATCCATCCATTATATATATAGTCACGACCGTCATGGGCCGGCCGGTTCTGTCACGGATGCGCGCGCACAGGGAGATCACGTGCTCGCCGGCAGCCAACGGGCGCGCGCCGCCGGCATTACGTCATAGATTATAAACACAAGGTAATAAGGCCAAATAAAAAAATAGTGTGTGATAAGGCACAATTTGGATTATCTACTTATATAATTGCCTTATTCTGTCTGTGTGAAGTTCACTGTGTGAAGTTCATGGATAGATTTTGGTCAGAATGGATAAAATAAAAAAAGTG